AGGAGGAGGAGGAGGAGGAGGATGGGATACAGACGACTACAGCGTCGAATAAGACAGTGCGACCGAACTCGGTCTGGCCCCGTTACCTTCAAACAGTGACTAAACGGCTGTTGCTAATGCTCACCCAGCATGCACGACGCAAAGAACAGTACGCTAGCACGTGCACTGACTTGGCACCCCTAAAGTGTCGTCTCCCCTTACTGTTCTCGATCCCGAGGCTATAGAGCCCATGTGAGTCGGCTGGGGGTTTTCGCGGTGACCCCTGTGCCTGTCGCGTAGGCTGCACGAAAATCACGTTGAGACACGCTCTCCTCCCCATGCCCGAAGTCATGTACAGGGACTCAAGCCAACTCTACGTCACCTGGACTTATCCAGTCTCGGCCAGACTCGATAAGCCCCCCCGCCCTCGTGGGGTGCCACTTGATTTAATGTTTATGTGTGCGCGTGCATGCAACAATCCCCTCCCAGCTCAGTCTCATTTCGGCCGCTTCCCTCTACCCCTCCCCTCCCCTCCCCACCTCACCTGGGCAGGTTGCCGCACGCGTGAGACCCCTGGCGCGTTATTTTGAAATATCTCCTGACAAATCCAAAGCGTATACTCAAGCACGCCGGTCCCCCGAATGCATGAGCAGTCGGATAAATCACCAGTAATCTTTGTCATCGCTGAGCCACAGAGATTGCGGCTGAATGAGCAAGGGGGTGGGGGGGGGGGGGCGAGGGAGAGCGTTGTCGAAAAGGGTTTCAAATCGTGCCGTGTACGCAGCCCACCACCTCGGACCAGAGCTAATGAGCGCGTTTCAAGAGGCCGCCACCTTCGGTGTATTTTCGTCTGACTTGCGGGGAGATAAGCCTCATAAACTGGACCCATGGCAATGGCGAATCGAGACTCAGATTTCACGATAACTCCATATCGTGCAATGTGTGACCAGCTGATAGATATCTCGTTCCCTCAACAAGTCCCCTGATTCATTGTAGAAAGGAAGTTCGTGGACTCCTCCCGCAGTAAAGAGTTCAGTATACATACAGCGGATGTTTAACGCCAATCCAGGCAACCTCATCCACAAATGCATAGGTGTTGGGTATGGGGGAAGAATGTTCGAGTCCCAGGAGGGCGAAGACTGTCTGGGCACAGGAATCGGCTAGATCGCAGTTGGTAGCCAGGAATCAGGAAGCGGGCGGTGACCTTGACCCTAATCCTAAACTTAACCCTAACCTCAACCTTAAACTTTAACCGTTAACCCTAACCCTAATCGAAATCGTAAATGTAACCGTAGCCCTTAGACATACCCGTAATTGAAAAACCTAACCGTAATACTGAAACCGTATCATACGCTCAAACCCTAACCGTAACCCGAAAACCTAAGCCTAAAGGCATAACCCTAACCCGAAAATCGGAAACCATTAACCGGTACCCTAATCCTAACCGCAAACGTAAAACGGAAGCCAAATGGGTCAGATGTGATTATGGAGCC